CCTAGTGAAGAGGTGTAGTTCTGGTCTGGGTGTCAGTAATGGAAAACCTATAGTGATATTAGATTTGTCCAGACATCAAGACAGATCCTCATGTAGAGGAAGAAACAGTCAATCCATTGAGGTCAATGGATTCAATGAGTAGTTTCACTGGTTGAGCAAGGACCACTGGAGAAATATATATGAGTACAACTCAATGGGATAAGTGGTTCCAGTGAAGCCATGGTCCCCAAAAGTTACAGAACTTCTCATGTAGCATGAGTATGAGAGGTGCAAACCTTGATGACCAGTAGTTCCAGAGCTTGCAAGTGGATGGGTAAATGTTGAGCATGGCTGAGAAAGAAATGGAAGAAAACTCTGAGATGAACAAGGTATTGAATGGGAGTGAAGAGCACCCAAGATGAACAGCTTCCTGTAGAAGAAGGGAGGTATGATTCTTCTCCAGAGTGGGACAGGAGAAGCCAATGGAATCGCCCTGATAATGTGGTTGAAGACTTAAGAGGCCAACACTGTACCAAATGGAAGAGCTTGAAAATGGATGATAAAACAACAGGAAATTATACTGTCAAAGAAGACATTGCACAGACACTGGAACACATGTCCTAAAAGTACAAATTAAATTAAAAGGAAAAAATCAAATTCAATATAACTCGAATGAAAGTTCTAACTGAAATGTTTAAAATTTGGTATCTTTCTTTTCCATAACCATGAAACTAAAGGAAAGAAAGGCTACACTAAGAATAGTAATAAAAGCTTAAAATAACAAGGTCAGAAATTCTGTTAATTATTAAGAAAAAACACATTTGAACAAAGCAGTGCCAAAAAAAAAAGAAAAAAAAGAATGAGCTTTTGTTTGTTTTAACATTAATGTTTATGAGTTTTACTGTGCACAGAGGATGTGTTGCCCTCCTATTGGCAGAGGGCTTCATTCTTTGAGCATGATCATAATACTATATTATAATCAAGCAAGTTTATTAGAGACTGACATTTATTCATAAATTTAAAATGGCATACTGAGCAACACACTTATAAAATGGACACAGTCCAGCAGAATTTCTTATAGGTAGGAACTTGTGCACTCCCGTACTGTTCATATTTTCACATCTGGATCCAAAATGTCCAGTTTTCTAAGCTCAAAAAGGAGTAGAATATCAAGACATCTCAGTTAGAAGACTTCAGTCAATACCACAAAGCATGAGAAACAACAAATTGATTACTATATTTGGGTGAGACATACAAAAGTAAAGGGGACATTAGTGAAACAAGTAGTTACTCTTCACTCACATTTCATTAACACATTTAATGAACTGAATTAATGCCACTTGTTCCCAATTCACACTGATTCAGCTAAACCTTCTGAAATTCAACTGGAGACAAAGAACATGTATGGCACTTCAGGAAATGAGTTAGACAAATTTCTACTAGATGTTTCTATCCAAAGGAGATAGCCATCTCGGGAGAGATATGCAAAAATGTATATGAAAGACTTTATAAAATAGTGTCTTACCCATGAGTGATATGTAATGGGGGAAAAAAAATCCACACCCAGTCAAAAGAATGTGAAGTCTACCTCATCCTTCTGCAGTTACATGGTTTTATCATTCTAGTAAGAAGTGTAATTTTTTCAAGTATTATATTAATGATGAGTAATGGAAAAGTTATACTTACAGAAAATGGATGTATTGTTTTCTATCAAAGAAAAGGAGATATAGTATTAGTTAATAATGGTGCACGAGCCTGTGCCACCTATTAGATGTATGTATTAGATCATCAAGAAATTGTCACGTTTTTGAACACTGTCATTAACCACATCCCAAAAAATGTACATCATGTATAATAGTTAAACGAACCACCTAACCGTCACGTTAGTGTAGCCTATATAATGTATGAAGTTTAGTATACTCTATTCCCTTATAGTGATGACACATGACGAGACACACATTTGGCATGTAATGCTGTTTGAATACAAGAAGGGAAACAACGCATCTGTAGCCACAAAGATTATCAAAGAGGTTTATGGAGATGTTTTGAATCTTTGTAAGTATCAACGATGGTTCAGCAAATTTCATTCAGGTGACTTTAGCCTTAAAATCTGTGATGGCAGAGCCCGACATGTTGGAATTGATATTGATGCTCTGAAGACGCTTGTTGAGTCTAACCCAAGGCAACATACTTGTGAAATGGCCCTGTAATTGCATGTCTTTCATGAAACAATATGTAAACATCTAAGGAATATGGGAAAACTATATAAAGAAGGTGTTTGGGTGCCTAATGAACTCTCCGATGATCATCGTTTCCAATGTGTGAATGTTGCTTTATCTCTTCTGGCACATAATGCGCGAGAACCATTTTTGGACAGAATTGTCACCAGTGATAAAAAATGGATTCTCTATGTGAATATTAAATGCCAAAAACAATGGCTCATTCCCAGACAAAACCACTTCCGACCCCAAAACCTGGACTCCATCCGCAGAAAGTGATGCTTTGCATTTGGTGGGACATCAAAGGAGTAATTCATTTCTAACTCCTCAATCCACATTGACTGTCAACACAGAGATCTATAGTCAGCAACTGGAACGTTTAAATCAAAACCTTCATCAGAAACACCCTTCATTCGTGAATTGGAAAGGTGTTCTTCTTCTTCATGACAATGCACATCCACATGTGGCACGTTTGACACAATACAAGATTATGGAGTTTGGTTGGGAAGTTCTCCCCCCACCCACCATATTCTCCAGATATGGCACCATCAGATTACCATCTTTTTCATTTGCTGCAACATCATCTTAATGGGAAAACATATGCAAATGTGGAAGGTGTTAAAGAGGATATCAACATGTTTTTTGCTTCAAAGCCAAGTGATTTCTTCAGTCAGGCCATTAACAACCTGATTGTAAGATGGAAAAGCATCATTGATAAGAATGGAGATTATTTCATTTAATAAATATTTTATTTTGATATATATAGGTTTGGTTTTTTTCATATAAAAAAAAGACATTAATTTCTTGACGACCTACTAACATCACAAGAGTTCCATGAGTATAGAACAGTAGAGTTATGTACAAAATGGTTGCTGTTAATAAACCTTATGTTTCACACTTACGATTCCAGTGCATTTATTAAATAAAACCCATAAGGATAATATTACACAGTTTGCCTTTTAGCTTATATACATTATCTAGAAAGTTTAAGGGATTATGTAATTGCTAAGTCTAGATCTTTTTCTAATCAAATTCATCAAGAGCTTTACCAAAAAGATTATAAGATTAATTAATGTTGCGATAACCATATTGCATAACCTATTTTATTAATATTACATTACATCTGCCAGCTCACCAAATAATCTATATCTTTCAACATAACTTTGGCATCGTTATTAAAATTTGAAATACCATCACTTTAATATCATCTACAAATTTAACCAATTTGCTGGTTATTTCTTTATTATTTATGGTTCACAGTCATTTCTTAGTTTCACAAATTTAAATGAATGTGAATATGGATAAATGATCAACAATAATAAGCAATACACTTGGCTTGAGTTCACTATCAAATTCAAGTTTTATAAGGATTTATCTCTCTGACAAATCTCTCAAATGAAAACTATTAATATGATATTGATAGCACAAAATCCTAATATTCTCATGCAAACACCCATTTTTAAATTAAGTGTAATTTTTATAAGTTATATGCATACTTAATACATATCTATGACCATACACTATTGTAATGCATCTTTAACTAGATAACTGTTACTTAGTTAAATTTTAGTGTACGCTATATAGTTTAGAAGGTAAATTTTTATATACCCATAAATACACAACTTTATCAATTATAAATATATCATATTCAATATTTAACAACACAAGTCCATATGATATAAAATGTTTTTATAAATATAGCCTACGATTTTACATTAATAATGATTTTTCATCACAGAAAAATACGTGTTTTAAAATTTGATAAGAAATAAAAGTACTGTTGTGTATACATGAATAATATTTGAGATAACTAAAACAAAAATGGTACTTGCAAGATGCAGTACTGTACAGAATGATGTACTCATATAGTCACGCGCGATTTATTTGGGCACGCCTTACAAAAGTATTGTTGTTATCGTTAAGTAATCACTTAAACAGTCTTTCCATCGAAATAATTATCTGTAACTAATGTGATGATACTGAGTGTGACAAACGTACTTGTACGGAAACACTTTCTCAGTCCTGTCCAAATAGACTATTACTTAAGAAAAATCCAAAGATTAGATATTATTGTAAACTTCACATCGCTCACTGTAGCCTAACGTTACCACATCTGACTTAATTCTCAAATGTTTTTAAACTGTCCGCTTCTAGTGTGACGTCACAAAAAGATAAGATTTATATATATTTATCAGAAAATAATGCGTTTTCAGTGACATGTATATCCTTTAAATGTATGAGCAGGTATTTTGTGAAGTAAGTAATTTCAAGAATTGTATTGCTAAATAATATAAAATTTTTGAGATTAAAAAGGTGACGCTCATAAATATAGTTTTGGCGCGAAACAGCTATCTTTCGTTTGTTAGCTTCGAAGTTTTGGTACAGTGTTAACTTAATTATACAATTTATAGTTATACCGTAATAGTTTATTTCATTTGGTACATTTAGATGCAGTTTTATTGTATTTGTGATTCACTAAACATAGAAACATCAGTTTAACGACTAAAGTAGCGTCGTAACCAATATTAACTGCTTTACAAATTGCTATTTTTTAGTGACATGGTCAGTTAATTATGTCATTAACGTTATTATTATAACAATATTATTGAGGTATTATCGAAGATTGACAAGTAATTGAAGCGTATAGTGTAATGTTATTTTGAGTGATCGATTAATTTAAGATTATTCTCTCATCTTCAGTCACAACTTGGCTATACACTATAATACAGTATACTTTAACCTCAGGCATAATAATAATCTCGGTTATTTCAAAACCTAAAACAGAAGAAGCAGTGCAAAATAGCCGAACAAAAGAAAATGTCAACAAACGCAGTTATTCTAAAAGTGAGAGAAAAAAACGACGGATTGACGTACCAGAGGTATGTTATCGTTAAACATTAATAATAATTACTAAAATTTGTAAACATTTAATATTAATTATAAAAGGTAAAACAAGATTTAGTATTAAGTAACTTATAGTTATAAGTTATATTACAATTTCGGAATTAGACATGTTTGTTTTCTAGTTCTGCTCTACTGTCTACACAACTATTTAATCTATTGTCTAATGTTGTGGGTTTCTGAAATTAAATTGACTTCAAAGTGTAATAAGAGCAATATTGCACCATTATTTTAACTTAAAATATTTTAAGTAATGTGTCAGTATAGAGAAATGGAATATCGCTCAAGCATGTGTTAAATAATTTTTGTACATACATGGTTTTTAGTTTTACAGATAAAAAAAGAGATTCTTAAACTGATTAAGTTCTTTAAGGATTTTGCTTACTACAAGAGTTCTATAAAATTCTGTAAGGCATCCTAAAGAATTGAATAGGATATTATAGGGTAACTAAAGGACATCATTATATTCCATAAGTTAAGAACCATTACTACTACTGGCACTAGTCTTATACTGTTATAGGACAAACTGAAATCCTATAGGAGACAGTGTAGGTTTGAAGTCAGTCCCATAGGACAAACTGAAATCTTCAGGATGTCTATTAATTTAATGTAATCAGTATTATACTTATAGAACACTGAAACCCAATAGAATTTCAAGTCAGGCTTATGCTTATAGGATTCTTTGACAACTGCATGTGTAAAACAAGCTGTCAAAACTTCATCAAATCTGTCATTTAGAATATTTAAACAGTTGTATAAAAATTAACCTTTTTCATGGTGAGCTTTATAAACTGAGCTATAAAGGCCTAATGGATGCATAGGATTTGACACATTTTTGATAAAAAAAAATGTCATTAGATATATTGTATGTATAATTTATAGCTCAGTTTATGAAGCTCACCATGAAAAAACTCGAAAAAAAAAGAAAAAAGAATGTTTAAAGATCTTAACTGACCGATTTGATTAACTTTTGCCATTTGTCAAAGCATCCTATAAGCCTGACTTTGTGACAACTTTTGTGACAGAAAATATAAAGACACTTTTGATTTAATCTAAATGTCCTTCCATTAACAGATACAAGCCTTGTTCCTATAATACTTATTTTATTTTTTACTCATTTAGTCTTTTTAGCATTTACTTTTATGATCTGCAACTCTAACCCATTCAACAATACTCTTAGTACCTTTCATCCTGTGCTGTTCCATTATATTGTTGTAGTTTTATATTCTTGTCAGTTACTATAATGTAAGATAAGTTTTGTAACCTGTGACATTCATAGACCCCTGAAAAAGGCATAAGCCGAAGCCTTGGTTAGAATAAACAAACATTTATCTTAAGTTATCGTTATTGAAATGTATTTATGTTTAGCTTAGTGTCTTTACTGAATCAGATCATCAGTATCTAGCAATCAGGAGTAAAATTTATACCATATATAAGTCTCCTAAAATGTGTTTATTTTAACCAAATTCTCAGAAAGCATTATAAATAGTATATTATAACTTCTATGAATAATTATAAATAGATACTGTTTAAAACTTAAATCACATAAGGTGATATGTCTTAGGCAGTTCATAATATATATATAGATAGATAAAATTCAATATGCATTATGTTCATAGGCAGATTTGGGGGGAGGGTGTTTGCCCCTCCAGAACTGGCTTATACCCCACCCTGGAGGTTTTCCAATCTTAAATTTATGTAGAACCAATGTTTTTAACTCGCAATTTTCTTAGGGGAACATGCACCCAAAACCCCCTAGCAGTAGCATGGCTTGCATGCTGGATGTGCTTTGCACACTGTGACCTGACCAGTCATCTCACAATGTAGGTATTAAGATTTAACTTGAGAGCATTATTCTTACTCTTCTTGCCCCCCCCCCCAAGTGTTTGCTCCTAGACATGTATGTGGTTATGCTAGCCATTCTAGATAAACATCAAAATTATAATATGTTTCTAATTAACCTAATACATAGTTGCATAGGTAATTCTGATACAATATTTTACCTCTTCTCATGTTACAGTTTATTGACTTGTACTGCCCTCTATCTATGCAAATTTTTGCTTTCCACTAGCCTTGATACTCCCATCTACCCTCACGTGAGCATGCAACAACACTTCACCAATAGGAGTACAACACAACTTCTAGCACAGCTGACTCCCTCTATGCAGATTAGCTCAACTTCATTTGTCAATGGCACTTGTGGTGTTTAGATGTGTTTTTTGCTTGAAATTTACTCACAGAATTTAAACCAGTTTCTTGTGTTTTGGAGAACTTAGTTTTTTTCTTAGTTTGTTACATTTCAGTTCTCTAACTTATCATTTATACATGTTAATATTGTGTGTCTATAATAATTATTTTTGAGCTCCCTGTGTGGATTTTGTCCTATTTCCACTCATAATTGTCATGAATTCGGAGCTTAATGTTACTACTGCTACTACTACTTGTCCTACAGAAGTTACCCTTACTTCGTCTACAATGGCTTTGGGTCTGCAGTTATCTGCAGGAGACATTACAGCCTTGGTTTGCTGGGAGTTGGCTACTTTCATGCGGTTTTCAGACCTGCCTGAAGATTATCCTGTCATGCCCTGTTCAGGAGTACCTGAATAAGAGAACAAATGGTTTCGACAGCCTGTTTCTTCCCGAATCTTATGCCACTCAGTCATGATTAGCTCCAGTGAATGCACCCAGGATTCATTCTCCTTTCCTGGAGTTGATCAGCCAGGTTTGTTATTTTTTTTACCTTGTTTCCTGTTTCCTCTCCTTTCCTTTTAAGTGAGACACCTTTGGCCCAATAGCTTGTTTACCTATAAATCCAGTAATTCTTCACTGTCAAAGTTTTGTGGGGTTTTGAATTCTTATTTTAGCATGTGCTTGGAAGAAGCACTATTTATATTCATTTTATAAAAGGCAACCAGAAAATATATATAAAATAAAAAAAAATTACAACCAAGCAAATATTCTACAAGAAGAGACCCTCACACAAGTGTTGTCACAACTGACTTCTAACACATGCCAGCTCCAATAAAATGAATTTGTTTCAATGTTTTAGCCAATGCACGTATCAGCGGCAATAGCTAACATAACTTTGGTCTTGTGTTAAAGGCTTTATCTGCCTTTCAGGGTTCTGTCCTCACTTGCTGCAACCTTCCTTCTCTTTCAGAAGGCTGCTCATTCGGATTGGCTGGTCAGGCTCTTTAAGTTGGTTTGTATAAGAGCTCTTAAAATTTGAGAATTGTAACTGTGTGCACGTTACATGATAGCAAAAACTGCAGTTTTAGATGTTTCTTCTTAAATAGATGAACAAAACTTAGTTAACATAAAAATTGAAATTATAACATACTTGATGTTAATTAAGTATTAAAATACATTGATAGTAAAGTGGTTTAATTAAATTTTGAATGTACTGCATACATTAATTCATTTAAATTAAGTACTAAGATTTTTTAATTAAAGATTTTATCGCAAACTTTCTTTCAGAATGTTGACTATCCAACATGCAAAGCAATTTTGATTTTAAGATTAAAAATACTTTAATGCATTAGAACATTTTCAAATTTCACATGCGAAATCTTTATAATTTCCAGATAATTATCAAATGTTTTGTAAAAAAACACTATATTTTATTTGTTATATTCACTAGTGTATTTCTGTATGGATTGGTTCGATATGACCGACTTTGTAACCTCAATAAAAGATTAGCAAAAAAAATATAAATTACAAACAAGTCTATTTTGACCCCATGTCTGCAGTACTTTTCCGAAATGGACTTACCTGCTCTCACACAAAGATTATTTCGATCATTGTGTGCCCTTTAAGCATTGCAAAAACAATTTTTAGTAATTAGTACACTACTCTTTATACCCCACTAGTTTCGTGCCATTTCTGAACATGTACATATCATGTGATTACTGTTCTCTAATGGTATTGTGCCACCTATAACAGAACAGCTAGCTCCCTCTGCTATTCCTGCTCAATCATGACTTTCTTTATTGGCATGACACAGTTTAGACGTGTGTTTAATTTTTGCAAGTATGACTCCAGTTTTTGACTGTGCTTTGTTGCCATTTCTAATGAAGTTTATTCACCAATTTATAATTTTCATGTTTTATTTCATTTGTTTCCTTGAATTTGCATTCAAAATTTTCTCGTTCTTGAATTCTACATGTTTTAGTATGAATTTGAGGTTTCCTGTGGTGGTCAGTGATATTCCCGTGACAGGCGACAATGCACATGGCAGGACTTCCCAGGACTCTGGGTCGACTTTATCTGCTGAGGAAATACGCAGGGAGTTAAGAGACTTATGTTCAGCTGGCATTTTCTTCTTCTTTTCAACGTGACACTGTTTTTGAGGTGGAAGACACTCATTGAGTTGCCACTTTGGTCTTTTCTTTTTCAGGCATCTTCCTCCAATTGCCGGCCACCATGTCTTGTTCTTCTCCTCCTTTCTTCCTCCAGCTTTAGGTTCTTCCAGGAGATTTGTGGGAAATTTTTCAAATGGTTTGTCCATTTCTATTTATAAGTACGGTATTAACTTGGTATGTTTCAGTAGTTTGTACCTTATTTATCATTACTACCTGTAAAATATAATTCATTGTTCTATTTGTATTTTATAACGTATTTGTTAACTATGTGCCTTCACATCCCCATTTACGTTTGTGTCGGACTTCATTACGTGTCCTTTGTCGTCTTGATTAACTTCATGGAATGTTATTTTATATATTGATTATTTATGTGATTTCTCTGTAATGTTCATTTTTATTACGTACTTTGTAAACTGGGTACATTTAGATAATTTGTCCATTTCATATATCAGTACTTTGTTAGTTGGGTATGTTTGGTTAGTTTGTACCTTCCATATCATTACTACTAGTAACAAATAATTCTTTATTCTCTTTGAATAATTTTTTCGTCATTATTAAGAATATATCTTCTTCTAATTTTACTCAGTGTAGGTCTTAATACTGTAACCTTACCATCT